ATTAAGGGGAGTTATACTTTAAAGATGAATTTTTCTTTCCTTAAATCCTTCTAAACATTTCATACTATATACTATACAATAGCTTCCTACAATTAGGTGCCTTAATAGAACAAATGAATGGACAGCTTGCTAGGATACTGCACTATCTTTCATTTTCACCAATCATAAAAGCCAGCATCAGTTGTAAATCTGGACTCCAAGGTTGCTCAAGTATATTTGACAACCAAAACTGTTTTCATGCAAACCTAAATCCACATTAGACACTGTGATTCATAAAGAAAATAATCTCAAATCATAATGGTTCATTTATACTAAGTGAAAAACTAAACCAGACCTCATAAAACATATTGTACTGGGACCAAATTATTAGATTTGATTCTGGAAAATAAGATATGTGAAATCACAATGTCTTAATGTCCCTAATGAACATAAACACAAAACTCAAACAGCAAACAGAGTATAGCAAATCATCAAGATTATACCCAAATCAGATTTATCCTAGGAATGCAGGGATGGTTCAACATACACAAATCAAAATGTAATACACCATATAAAACCTATCCAAAGACAAAAATCGCATGATCCTCTTAATAGATGCAGAAAAAGCATTTGACAAAGTCCAATGCCCATTCATGGTAAAATCCCATCTGATAAAAGCTTCCTGTTACGGTTGATACACTGTGTCACCTTGAGAAGTTTAGAAGTTTAACTAAGTCATTCAGTGGGAAGCCAGGACCCTTTGTAAACATTCTCAGGCTGTGCAAGAGGAGGGCACAGAGCTGGTGTGAGTGCTACACTCACCAGGGAGGAGGCGGGAGCGTAGCCTGTTTACAGTATAAGGGAACATAAAATGTTTGCTTTTGCCCCCATTTTGCTCCTGTTGCTTGGCTGTCTTCTGCTGCCTTGAAGTTTTGCCCCTGTGCCATGTCACCCTGCCTTGGAACCAGCTGATCATGAACTGAAACCTCCCAAAGCTGTGAGCTAAATAAACCTTTCCTTCTTTTACTTTGGATGTCAGGTACTTTGTCTCAGCAATGAGAGAAAAATAACCAAGATACCACCTATGATAAATCAACAGCCAACATCATTAAAAAATGGTAGAAACTGAATTCTTTCTCTCTAAAATCAGGAAGACAAGGATGTCCATTGTCACCACTACTATTGAGTATAGTTCTAGAAACATTAGCCAGAGCAATCAGGTAAGGGAAAGAAATAAAAAGAATAAAGATAGGAAGGTAAGAAGTTAAATTATTGGTATTTGTAGATGACATGATACTCTACATAGAAGACCCAAAAAATTCCACCAAAATACTTTTGATTAATAACCAAATTCACATACACAGTTGGTTTCAGAATCAACACTCAAAAATAAATAGCATTCCTGTACGCAAATAACAAACTCTGTGAGGCAGAAATTAAGAAACAGCACCTTTCACCATACCATCAAACAAATGAAATACATAGGAATCAATCCAACAAAGGAAGTAAAAGACCTCTACATCAAAAACTACGGTTCTCCAAAAAACAGGAATGAAAAGGATATCAGAAAATGGGAAGATATTCTCTGCTCTTGGGTAGGAAGAACCAACAAAGTGAAAATGGCTGTAATCCCAAAATTATTATACAGATTTAATGCAATCCCCATCAAAATGCCATTAACGTACTTCACAGAATTAGAGAAAACAATCCTAAAATTTATTTGGAACCAGAAGAGACCTAGATTAGCAAAAGCAATTCTGAGAAACAAATTCAAGGCAAAAGGCATCATAATAACTGACTTGAAATTATACTACAGAGCTACCATGATTAAAAACAGCAAGGTACTGGCAAAAAAAAAAAAAATTTGACCAGAAAATCAATGGAACAGATTAGAAGATAAAGCAGAAACTCCAAATACACTCAGTCACCTTATCTTCAACAAAGGGGCCAAACAGTTCACTGGAAGAAAGATAGCCTCTTAATTCTAGAAAAACTGGCTTCCACATGCCAGCAATTAAGACTACACCCATGTCTATCACCATGCACTAAACTAAAGTGAAAATGGATCAAAGATTTAAATATTAAAAGAGAAACACTAAATCTTCTAGAAGAAAAAGCAGGTAAAACTCTTGAAGACATAGGTGCAGGCAAAGACTTCATGTACAAAACCCAGATAGCATGGGAAATACTACAAAGAATCAACAACTGGAATGTCATCATATTAAAAAAACTTTTGCACAGCACAAGAAACCACCAACAAGGTAAAAAGATAACCCACAGAGTGGTGAAAAAAATTTAGCCAAATTCCCTCAGACAAAGGCCTAATATCTAAAAAACATAAACAACTGGAAAAAATCAGATTCCCTAAATTCAAAGACTCAATCCAAAAATGAGCATCTGAAATGAATACATACTTCTCAGATGAAGAACTACAAATGGCAATTAAATATATGAAACAATGTTCAACATCACTGGTCATTTAAGAGATATAAAGTAAAACAACACTGAGGTTTCATCTCACTAAAAAAATTGGTTATTACAAAAAATCAACCAATAATAAATGCTGGCAGGGCTGTGGAAAAGATGGAACACTTCTCCACTGTTAGTGGGAGTGTAGACTGGTGCAACCACTGTAGAAATCAGTGCAGAGATTCCTCAAAAACCTAGGACTAGCGGTCCCATTTGACCCAGCTACCATCCTTCCGGTATATTCCCAAAAGAATTAAAAGCATCATACCACAGTGATATATGCGCACTTGTGTTTAGGGTGGCACAGTTTGCAATAGTTAAACCTTGGAAACAACACAAATGCCCATCAACTGATGAAAGGATAACAAAGATTTTTTTTTTTTATCGAATGGAGTACTACTTGGCCACAAAGAAAGGCAAAATTGAGACATTTATTGCTAACTTGATGGCCTTGAGATCATACTCTAAATTAAATCAGACACATGTAAATATCACATTGTCTTTCTAGTATGAGACACTGAAAGTGTAATTACTAACATAAGAACCAAGTCGTACAACAGATATCGTGAAATGGGAAGAAATTGTTCAAAAAGAAAGGAGAACGAGGGAGCAAAGAGGGAGAAAAGAAGGAAGGGAAAAGGAAAAAAGAAAAAAAAAGGATAAAATGAAAACAAAGCTTTGCAAATAAAAAGGAGAAGACAGGCTGACGAGAGGGGAGGGAAATGTGAGGGGAAAAAAGACAAATCAAGGTATATCATGTACAGGTGCAAATTTCCTATGATGAATGTGATCATTGTATATATCTAATTGTATCAATAAATTTAATTAAATGAAAAATAAAATCTGGAAACTAGATACAAAAGATATAAAAACAAAGAATTATAATGTCTTAGTCTCAAATTCAAAGCTTTTTTTTTTTAACCAAATTTGGCAGCAAAGCCTGAACTGGTATAAGAAAATTCATATCCTTTATTTACTTCATTTGGTGTGAGTATTCATTTTATTATAGAAATAGAATACATTCAGTTACAGGGTGATTCCTCTGACCGACCCCATAGGAAAGTTAAGTAATATATGACTTAATTAATGTAGTTTTTTCTAAAGTTCAAATAATTCCGATCTTCAAGGCATGTCTGGCCCCAAGGATGTTGCATATGGATTCTATATTTTTTTCTGTATTCTATTACAACATCCATTCAATTCTATTGTTGAGTTATAAATCTTCTACAACATGTGGATCTTAAAGAATTTAGCAACAGTAAAGTCAAAGAAACATGATTAATATGATTTTAGCATTTGGAAGTTATATCTTGAAAGACTGCTCCAAGATCCTTATAGATATTATTTAAAGTATGCATTTACACACATTACATTATTGCTTTCCCCATGTGTCTACGTCTTGGAATAGAAATGCTTCTGACTATGAGGAAGCTTTTATACATGAAATCTTTGTAGCATATTCAGCCACAATCCAGGAATTGGAGGCATCAGAATAATTATCATACCTTCTGAGTTTTCCAAGTAGTTTATTGTTCGCATTGTATAACTCAATAATTTGCTTATATTTAACATTTTTTCTCCTAAAAGTTTTTTAAAAAGTGCTAGGAGCAAGGTTTCTACTCTTTATAGGGGATTTATCTAGTACTGGCTATAAAATTCACTTGTATATGATGTTTCATTGTCACAATTGCTCTTCAGGGATGTTCACCAATCCTCCCATCACGTAAACGCACAGCCTCAGGCTCAGTTTGCCCAAATCCACATGATTCTTATGTTTCAGAATGAAAGTTGAACCCAGGTCCAAAGCTTGTATCTTCCAAAACATCACAGAGCTCGTGTTCTAATCTCCTTTCCAAATCATGCACTATTGGAAGGAAGACCTTGCTTGGTCCACAGTAGAAATGAGAACATATTTTCTAAATTCCTATGTTAAACATTTGATAGCATCATTATAATTCCATAAAATAAAAATATATTATTTGTATATTTTAAAAGATTTAACTCTAGTCACATAAAATAATATTATTTTGTTTTTTGTTTTATTCTTTCAAAAATTAACACAAATAACTGAAATTGGAAAAGCTTATCAGCAAATACAGCTAATTAAGATATTCAATATTTACCCACCTTTTAGATGCATCATCTATATTTACTGAAAATATTAACAATGGAAGGTAGACAAAGGCTTTCACCCCAGAACAACAAAGCATAAAAGGATAGAGATGAAGATCATTAATGATTTTAATTATTTTAAAGCCCATTAAAATTAGAGAAATGTTGAAGCACCCACGGTGTTAAGGATTTATCATTATACCATTTTAGAGTTTACTAGTTCATACCTTTCAATCACAGCAAGTTATTAGCAGTGAAGGGATGGACCCTCTGAAGAGGATTTTCATTTCAGTGATAGAGTGTTATGAGCAAGACAACCTTAACTTTTAAAAAAAAAATTAGTAGCAAGCACTAGTTGAGTTAATCAGTTAAAGACAAACTGTGCCGTTTCGAAGCTAAATGAAAAAGCAACAGTAAAGCTTACAGAACTTAGCTCGTACAATTTGCCTTGAAGGCGGAAGATTGGTTCCCTGAAATAGCAAAGAATTATATGCTTTAGTTCAGAAAAAATGTTTTTAAAATAAAGTCTGTTATTACCTCTTCTCCTTTCAAAACAATGGAAAAAAATCTAGAGCAGAGGTTTCAATTTGTTTGATAATTGTACCTCTGAATTAAAAAAAAACTTTAAAAAAATCATCATTGTTTTGACTTGAAAAGAAATAACAATGCAAATATTTATTATCACATAAAACATAAAAGAAACAGCAAATTGCCAGAGTTAATACAATCTGCAGAGCGCTATTAGTCAGAGACAGCTGGTCAGCCCCAGAACACAAAAACTCAAAGGATCAGATCTTCATAAGAATGAACATTGTCATTTACCAGCAGGAATTTAGTGTGGCAGAGGTGAAATCCACCAACTGCCTCCTTCATGAGCTGTCCCTTCACTGTTACCAAGCTGTGCAAACGTGTGAACTAGTCAGCAGCACCAGAAAGCTCATGCAACTACTCACCAGATTTTAACCTTGAGCTGACTCTTGGAGTCAAAGTTAAGTTTAGGGGTCATGTAAGCAAGCAAAGGAGGGCAAAGGGGGTCACATTTGAAATGCAGAGCGAGTAGCAGAGAAGTTATTTAAAATAAATCAGTATGTTTAACTGCATAAAATAGCCAAAAAGCAATGCGATTTACTCTAAAAACTTGAAAAGCAAAAATAAAAAGTGAAAAGCTGCATTTTAAGCAAAATTTGCATGTGATTAATTTGCACTTAAAAAAAACAGTCAGTCAAGCGATTTAGTCGATATTCTTTAAAGCATGCATGCACGATTCTCTTTCACAGTTCCTACCTGATTTCCAATTGTAGTTTTCTTGTGAACCTGACTGCTCCTCTGCTGAGCACTGAGAAAACCAAAGGAAAGCAGTGCTGAACAAACTCATAAGGTCATTTTCCAAACAAGTAACAGATACTAAAATATATACAGGCTTTTTTTAAAAATCAGCAAATGAGACACAGTTAATATTAAAAAAAATTTTAAAAGACAAGGTCAGTTTAATTCTGGAAGCAAAACCAAGTCAGTGGGACATCTAGTAGCAATTAACAATCACAGACAAAAACAATAATTACTCTACAAGGGAAAAGGAACATCGCTGCACATTAGTGACTATTTCTCACCACAACTCTGTGGGTAACACTGGAGCACAGAGGGTTGAGGGTTAAAGGTTAAGTTAGACTGTAACAATTTCACGTCAGAGCCTACACATTTAAGGTCTACGTTATTCTGTCCTTCAAAAGAATGAAGGCTTCTTTCTGGTGGATCTCTGCATTCCTCTAAGGATGTAAAAAATAATACTCATTTTGGTTATTGTGGGAAACTAGTAACACTCGATCTTCTATCCACTTATTATGAGTTTATAGTCACTGTTTTGGAGAACAACTGAATAGTCTAAAACAAAGAAGAGGTAAGTTAAAGACATCACCTGTTTAAAGTGATGGAAAGTTATGGTTCAGTGGTGAGACAGAAATCAGTGACACACTGAGAATAGTCCTTTAAAATAGCCATTTTTCACAAAGTCCCTTGATGTATTTACGTTGCCCACCTTCCCTCAAACTCATGAAGAGCTACACACTGTATTCAGCTGAGGCCGGGCAGGGGTAAGTGGTGAAAAGTCACAACATATTTGATTACTAGGGACATTTTGTAAGCATTTTTTTCTATCACAATTTCTAGGCTATTAATTTCAGCTTCTTCCTTATCTTTGGTCGTTAGTTTTCTAGGTTTTAGTTAATGAATTTCCTTCTCAAAAAAAATTAATCTATCTTCCACCATCCCTCCAAATAATCTAAATCTAATTTTCAGGCAAAGATGAAGAGTGCAAGAGGTGATGCTTCTGTCTGTGCTCAGCATCTGAGGCACCTGCACTGCCTTCTGGCTGCCGTGATGCATCTCAGAACCTGCTTTCCCAGAGCTGCAAATCTCTCCCACACTTTAGGTCCCCACTGTCACTTCCCAAGTCGTCTAGCTTTCCTCTCGGGTACACTTACTTTATAAATGTAATCCTGCCTCCCTGGTGGATTATGGTCATCTCCTCCTAGCACTAAATGTATGCTTTAGGATTTTCTTTAGAGAAAAATGTAAATCCAAGAAAAAAAATAGAGAAAGTATGATGCTGACTCTGTTTGTTGCAGAGTTTGACCTAAATGGACAGCAGCTTCTCAGCTGCACAGGGTGGAGAAAAAGGGGAAGGTACCTGGACTGTTTCTTAGGTTCAGTGTGTGTGTGTGTGTGTGTGTGTGTGTGTGTGTGTGTGTGTGTGTGTGTTGGGAGACAGGGGCTCCCAGTGATCAAACCTAGGACATTGAGGCAAGTGTTCTATCCCTGAGCTGTACCTTTAGCCTTTTTAAGTTTCTTTCCCATCCAAGATTCCTTGATACGCAAAGTTCAGCAGCTTGTGAGCAACACCAGGTAAAGAGAATTTCACTAACAGGTTTCCACCTTCAAAATAATGCACTTCAGGATGCATCACCTATACCATGATACATAAAGAGCAACACTTTCATGGCTAGTTGAGAATGAACCAGCAAATATTATAGTTAAAGTAAACTCTAGCATACTATTCCTTTGTACCCAAAGAACAGTCTTCTTATTGGCAACTAGCCCCATAAAATTCACACATACTGTTGCTAACGATATATTTAGATACTTAAACGTTACTTCACACATCACGTAATAAAAAGGCTATCTAATTAGAAAACAACTTTTATGCTAAGACAGGAGGATGGCTGTGAGTTCAAGGCCAGCATGAGCTACAAAGTGAATTCAAGGTAAGCCTAACCCATACAGTTAAACCCTACCTCAAAAAAAGACCAAAAAAGAAGGAGGAGGAGGAGAAGAAGGAGAAAGGAGAAGGAGAAGAATTAAAAGAAAGAAAATAACATTTATTGCAATTCTTCCGTGTTATGATAATTGAACTAAAAATATCTCAAAGTACTTGTCTGAGAGTGTGTCAGAAGGAAATATCTAAATACCTCCAAGTTAATTTGAACTCCTGGACATATTCTTGGATACTGGTATTTAATTGGTTATCTCAGCAATATTATAAAATGCACCTATGTATAATGTTTTAATTTCTCATAAGTCAAAAACTTTAGCATGGCAACGTGAAAGAAAATATAAATACAAATAATGTATCATAAACCTACAATTTTCTAGTAGAGTGGAGAAATACATATATAAAACACAAGTAACAAGTAACAAGGATAAAATCTATTCCAAATGGCTATGTGAGACTACAATGGAATGACAAAACTGCTTCTGTTTCAAGTACAAGATATAATCACCTCGTAACTTCTTATTGTGTATATTTGTTAATTGTAAAACTTTATACTACATCCAAACAACCACAGAACGCCCTGCTACAAGACTACAACACAAAGCCAAATTAAATTTATAAGGTTTACGCTTGAGACATAATGAATTTAGGAGTGTATAATAAGAACTTTAAATTTTAATAAAAATCAAAGTACATTAAAGACATTGAAAGACAGAAAAGCCACAATGCTAAACTCCATTCAAAACTTTATGTGCACATTGCCTGCTAGCTTTGTCCATGAGCAAACACAGCAAAAGACACAAGAAACAGAAGAGTGTGTCAGGGAGGCTGTGACTGTTTATCAAATATACTTAGTAAAATCCAAAAGAAGAAATGCCATTTCAGCCTCACGTGCCCGGAGATTTCACAGAAAATTTGAAAGATAGATGTTAATATAGGAAGACAACAAACTGCTTTCCAAGAATAGAATGGTATTGGCAAAGTCAAAAAATAGAAAGAGAAGGCAAATGGCAAAACTGTGAACAACACTATTATGGTAGAATTACATAATCAGAGATTCAGGTTTATAAATGCCCTTAACTTCATCTACTATTATAACTGTATGTCACGGCAAATTATAAAGAACTTGCTAATACACTACAGGTAACAGATAGCAGCCAATGTTTCTGAGCAGCAAGTGCCAAGATCAAAATATTCCTTAAAAAAAAAAATAACTCCCTCCCCAAACTGGGAAGTAGACTGTGAAGCAGAGAACATAGGAAAGCAATCACAGGCCACTGGGACCCTGCTTAGCCTTCAAAGTCCAATCAAGTGCCATTCCTGCATTCCACCTTCTTAGAAACCTACAGTATCTCCCTCATCCATGACCTCCCAAAAGCTTTGCTGTGCCTGCATCACATGAACAGGTTCCTCTGATAGTCAGGACTCGACCTCACCTCCAAACACAACTACAGCTGATGGTGTATTGCATCAAACTTGGTGTTTCTACTTCTCTCCCTATGGACATCACCAAGCACAAGGTTCATGGAGGTTTTTAAAAAATAGCTATGGAATTCTATTTTGATATGAGAGTCACTTACAACCAAACTATCAATGTGCCTCAAGAAGCATGCCATATGGTTACGTAACTTTGAAGTGGCTGTTCATATTACAAGACAGGCATGAAAACCTGATCAAACAATACTGGCACAAATCTTTCTTTTCAATGAACTAATAGCAACTAGTAATATGTTATCTAATTTGTGTTTGTTTATTTACTTATTTTTGCTTTTCCTTTTCTTCTTTTCTCCTTTTCCCCATCCTAGTTTCATTTTCCTTTTGAACAGTTTTTTCCACTTCACAATATCTATTGTACATTCTGGATCTTTACTTTTTCAGCTTTTTACACTAGGGAGATTGGACCATTGTTTTTATTTGGTTATATTCCTTTAAAATAAAAAAGTTAAATTAAGTTAAATAAGCGCATCAGAGGCTAATTTATGTCCCAAGGCCAGAGTGTGTACAGTACATTTAAACATCCCAATATTCAAACTAGCTGTAGCATAGTATGTACTAAAGAGAAACAACAGTGACATAACAGCAGGAGAGGCAAGCAGAACGCAGACATAATGGGCCTTGGAAATCAGGTTAATAAGGTTAGACGTTATTCCAAGAGTTACAGGGAATCCCAGAAAGAGTGAGACAGAACATGACAGGAGACAGAGACTGTTTTGCAAGCCAAGTAAAAGAGGACTCGTTTTAGTGTTTCAGTGATATAAAGAAATAAGACAAACTCAAAATCTGTTGTGACAAGAGTCAAATGAATTTAGTATCACAAAGGAGACATAGATAAGAGAACAAGAAGTGCAGAGTGACACATAAATGTCTGGTTTAAGCATCTGCAGAGAGTGGGAAGAGGGGCAAATTACAAAGGCAGACAGTAAGTGTAATTTGGGACTAGCAGGTTAACGCTGATGTTCTGGAGGTAGCTGAATATGGTGCACAGACGAGAAAAAGGTTTTGGGATGGAGACAGAGATTCAGAGTCATCAAATAAAGTTAGTAAGGAAGCATCGGAGCAAGTGAGGTCAGTTGGGCATTACACAGCAAGGGAGGAAAGAAGGGATTCAGGGAAAAGTACTGGTTAAAAAAGTTACTAAGCCATGGACAGAGGAAAAGGAGCTCCCAAAGAACACAGAGTTGTGCTCTCCAGTCCAGTGGATGGTAGACAGGTGAAGCATTAAATTAAAACTTTAAAATTTAAAATTGTAACTTCAATTGAAATTTCATTTCCTCCATTTCTCTGCTCAGCAATCACATTAGTTAGTGGCTCCCAGACTGAGCCACACAGGTGAAAAAATATTTTCTTCATCTCAAAAAGTTCTCCGAGTAACACTGCTGTGGAGTGATGCACCTGTTTTAGAATGTTCTATTAAATTACACTAAGATTATGTACACTTCCGAGAGTCCCAAGACTCCTATGGGTAGGTTTCACTCATCCAATCAGATTGAAGCAGAGAAAAGAAATGATGTCAATTCTTGTCTACAGAAACTTCAGGCATACATTACCCAAGAAAACCTCACAGAAATAGAGGGATGGCTATGAAAGAAGAATCATTCATCTCATAAGATTCACATTAAGAGTAAAAATGAAGTTCAAAATAATAGATTTGAGGATGCAAGTGTACTTATTTTAAAAATGGTTCTTTGAATATTGAAATTTTTAATGTATTGGAATAGGTGATACTATTGATGTCCTCTCAAGTCACTCGAGCTTATATTTCTATCCAATGATAATCCTGGTAAGCAATCAGGTATTTAATAACTAAATTTGCATATGAGTCCAAAGAAGAATCTCATTATGCTCTAATACTCATTTGGATTCTATAAGACAGAGAACACCCTTGTGTAAGCATAGGAAGTAGAAATACCATTATAATAGATTATGATATGTCTTCCTATTTCATAATATCATAATATAAAAACATAAAAGAATATCACAATATCAAAAGAATTCACAATATCAAAATATAAAAGAAGAATGTAAAGAGAAAGACCATGCTTGTTCTGGAACTGGTGGCAAGGTCCAAATACACTTTTTGTCAAATGGCAACAGAGGAATTTCAGAAGATCAGGAAATAGATATAATGAATGTTACAACCCATGCAATTTTCATGGTGCTCATATAACAAGAACTGAACTATTCACACTGTATTATTTCCACTGTGAGAAAACAGGTGCTGAGACCTACTCAGTAGATCGAAAAACAAACAGACCTTGGTCTGCTGCTTATGGTATAGAGACATTACTTTAACAGCCCCTAACCGGAGCCCCACTTTCTCTTAAACCTCTGGACTGCATAAATCTTACAACTCAGAGGGCAAATTGCGTCCTGGAACAAATGAAGAAAAGCACAAGAATTTGCAATTTTACTTTCCAAGGCGTTCAGCTAACAAGTTTGCCTTATTCTTCAAACAGCTGGATTACTGAGAGTGAGGGGAAATAAAAGAAATAACAGTTGGACTAGTTCTTATTTTCTTAAATAGCAAAAACTAGGTATATTAGAAAATATAATACAGGATTTTTTGCCAAAAGGAAAAAAATGACAAAATTTAAATTCTTAAGTCATAGGAAAAGTTGCCATTTATTTCTCAAATACTAAATTTTTAGGTTCATAAACTACTTTAGAGTTGCATGACCAAGCTTTTGGAAGTCAGGAAATTCCAAAGAAGCCTACAGCAGAGCACACTTGGACATATAACACATGTTACATATTTTACGGTCCCTGTTTAATAAACAACTGAGAGAGGGAAAAGGAAGTCCCACATACCCAACATGGCAGAATATATTCTACAGTAGAAAAGAATTTTGCGATGCCCCAAACACCACTCTGACACTAAGTAGTCCATTAATCTAATTTTAGAAATTTATTTTTCCTTGAAAAAATTTTAGAACAAAAAAAAATCATCCCTGTTTAAAAAATGACATGTGTAAAACACTATGAATATCACCATCCCATAAATCCGAGAGATGGACCCCTGTCTTCTGGCAACTCTCTATTAAAAAAATCTCAGGAAATAAATGCTCATTTTCCCCAACCCCAGACTTTAATTTCTATCTTTGGAACTAAAAATACTTACATAATTGTCTTCAAATATGGCTTGACTTTTCTTCCTTGATGCAAGCAGCATTCTTGCCAACTTTAAAATTTATAGCTACAACCATCTTCTTTTAATTTTAAAAGCACAGCAAATACCAGAACCCATCAAAGTGATTTTGAAATGAGAATTTCTTCATTTTCATAATGATTACATGTCACACTTACATATACTTCAACTCAGCACACAAACGGGTAGAACATTTACTCTGACTCTTAGGGTGAAACGCCATGTTTTATGATGAAGGGAAAGGAGGATAAAGGGAGGTTGGAACTGATCAGCAAATTGGATTAACATATGCATGGCCCTGAATGCCACAACGAACCCCATTGATATGCATAATTAGTATACCGTAATCAAAATTAAAAACATTGTTTTTGGAGATGACATTGGCACCTGAAAAACAGCAATTATACTATTGTATTTTAGTCATTATAAATTTTATTACAATGTCAAATGGTATAGTTGGTAATCAAATGTGGGTGTGCTCAAGTGTGCATGTGTGTGTAAAGAGACTCTTATTCTTGCAGACTATAAAACTGTTTTCTAAAGCACGACCACATAACTTTATGAAACTGATCTCCCAACAATCTTGAAATGTGTACAATAAAGGGATTAATTAGCATTCCATTTGCTAGATCAGTAAATTAAGGCATAGGAAAAATAAATGCCTGACCCGAATCCTAGCAAAAATACCCAGACTTGTGACTTCCAGATCAGTCCTTGAGGAGACGTAGGTGAGAAGAGAAATATGCAAGGAAGCTAGATTTCTAGAACACTCTTAGCAATGGGTTTTTCCTCTCCTCAACATCATAAAGGGTCATAATCGATCTCATGTTTTAATAGGTGGGAGCAGTTACACAGGTTAAAAAGAAACAGTAGCAAAAGACTATTGTCTGAAAGCATTAAATTTGGAAGTACACATGCTTTTGAGCACTTATAGAAACAGATATAATATTACAGTTTCACAGTTCCTGAGGTAGCCAACACTGGCGTTTATCAGGAAACAATTAAATTCTAGCCTATCTTTAGAAGAGAGAAAAGGAAGGAATGAAAGGAAGGAATGAAGGGAAGGAGGACAGAAGGGAGTGCCAAACAAAGAAAAAACAAAAAACAAAACAAAACCACACAAAAGGCAATCCAGGAAAAAAAAAAAGCCTCAAAAAGAATACGGGGTTAAAATTTAAAGTACATAAATTAATTACATAAATTTCCCACTTATTACATAAATATATTTAAACCTGACTTTTCCCAAAGAAATCCTGCCCTTTTCTCCCTTTCCCCTTTGAACTGAAACACTATGACCAGACAGCATTGCAATGTCCTTTTTGCTTTTAAGTTATTGTGTCAAGTTTACATCTACAACTGCTACTCGTTTATAACTGGCATTTGCAATCCATAAAATAAACATGAAAGGCACCATTCATGTTGTTTTTCAAGGATTTGCCTTTTAAATTCCTCAAGGAAGCAAGTGAAGTGGGTAGCCAGCGTTCCAGGTTAAGTGGTTACCCAGGCTTCCCTACACTCTTTAATTATTAAGCGAGCTCTTAAAAGGCAACAATAACTTTTTCTTCTCCCACCCGACCAAAGGAAACTGAAGTAGAATTTAGCCTAGGCCTCCATGTTCACCGACTGGACTGTGGGCAGGTCAGCAAAGAATCCTCAGATCACCCCTGGAGACCGAGGGACAAGGACACGTATCAGGGTCAGTGTGATGTACAGAAGGAAATGCACAGTGTAAATGGTGAACGTTGTGGGGGCTAAAAGGGAGGGGAGAGGTCCATGTGAGATCTCGGCTGCCAGCACCTAGCTACCTAGAAGATGGAGTAGGCAGACAGGAGAAGTATGCGCTGCTATCTTCTAACAAGTGTACCCCTCTTACACAGACAGGAAGCCACCAAGGAAAACTAACTTACTGCTCAACAGCAGGAGCCACTAGGTACAAAATACATTCACACTACTAAGTGGGCATCAGAAACAGCCTAGCTTAGACTGAGATCATTTACTCTGCATGATTGGGAATTTTCTCCCTCTGTGTAAATTTCCCAGACCACTTTTTAATCACTTGGTCTACTTGCCTGTTTCTTCTAAGTCGGGGCATAATAAAAGAAATTAGTTTGACATTTTGTTGTGTTTTATTTTTTGTATCTGTTCTATAGAAGTGCAATTAAACTAGAAGTATGTAGGCTCTTTTATTTTACATTTTATATAAAATATTTTATAGACTTGAAGTTGGAACCACTTGCAAGACCTAAATATTATCAGAGGTAAAATAAAATTATTTAAATAAAACAAAAATTGATTCCAAGAAAATATAGTGAATTCACAGTGCTGAAAGCATTGCATGACAAATAATATACCCTGAATAACTAACATAATGTCCACAAGATAAAAATCTGTGAAGAATAGAAATATACATGAATAAGGATGTATAAACTGTAGATGTGATTTTAAAAAAGAGAATATTCAACCCAATAGATTAGATCTAAGTTCATAAAAGATCATTTTTAAAGGCTTCTATATTCTGATTTTTAAAAGTCCTAACCATTTGTAACCTACGACTTATACATGATATTTCAACTTAATGTGAGAAAATGTTTCAAACAAATTTTAAATGTACATCTGTTATTGTCTATGAGAGTTCAAGTAAACTGCAGACGCTATTCCAATAATAATAAGTATCTAAAACATAAGACTTCAAATGCTTTCTAACAGAACTAACTATAGTACTTTGTTGAGAGATTAGTAAATAGCCTGCCTCTTGGCTTTGGAGTCCAGACCTCCTAAACAGGTAGGCTCAGGGTTCATACTGACATAGAGAGTACTCTCAAAAGGTATGGAAGTATAGTAGAACATTAGAATGTATGTTCTATACAAACCGGCAGGCACTGACCAATGACAGTCAATTGTTTCACGTACTTTGCAAAGCCAATGAAGTCTTCATGGTTGGTGTTGATGTAGGAGACCTGGATGTCAATCAGTAGCAGTACCTGCAAGGCAAAGACAATCGCATCAGTGTCACCCATTTAAAAAAATTCTCAAACATTAAATTCCGTAATTGCCTGTAAATGATTTCTCTGAATTTATTTATTTATTATTTTTAAAATTTGGTGGGGGTGAGGGAGACAGGGTTTCAATGCTCATCCTGGTCTGAAATTCGCTATGTAGCCTAGGCTAGCCTCAAATCTGGAGGGGTCCCACTACCTCAGCCTCTTGCGTGCTAGGATTACAGGCTTATGCCACCATGCCTAGCCCCTGCATCTAATTTTTAAAGTGATTTTTCAATGAGAATGAAAATTCACACTCATTTTTCTTCATTAGACCCACACCTTTGCACTCTAAATTCCTAAGTTAAAAACCAAATGAAAGTAAGTTTGAGAATTAAATTACATATTATTTGCTCACTAAAACTTTTCTATCCCTCTAAAATATACCATGACATTCAAAAGAAGGGCAAGGATGAAAAAGTTGTATTACCTCTTGTTTTCTCTCCCCCTTTGGATCTCTTGAGTTCATGCTCAGCAATCATTAAACAACTGAGAAAGGCGATACACAAAAATAAAACCTTCCTCAGATGAAGAGGCTTCATTATCAAATCAAAACACTGGCCAGGACTTTGCAGAAATGTCCTTCCTAGAGGAATCTTCCCTGACCCATCTAAGTCAGCCCTCTCACCATTCTAGCATGGAGTCTGACCCCATTTTCCTTTGTAGCTCTACAAGCTGGTGGAGCACACCTTTGCAAAGTCAAGATACAGGCTGCCATCGGCCCGTTGCCTAGATCAGTGTCTGAGACATCATGTGCATGCAGGAAAGACTTGTGAAGGAATGGATCAAGCACATGTCAGAGCACCAGAAGAGGCTGTAATCCTAAAGTACTCGTGAACTCTTACATCAGATATTCGGCAGGACTCTGCAGAAAAACATTCTCCAAAGGGAAGTGAGGAGGCAGGGAAAGAACAAGAGAGGAATGAGCAGCCAGGAAGTGTAAGAAAGAGGGTCTTATTCCAGAGACCTTCAAAAGTGGGTTCTGCTTTCTACATTCCCCCAAGTGCAAAGCACCCCTTTACATGACGCTCTAAATATGGGAGTCATTGCCTCAATACCTCCAGAGCGCCATGCTTTACCCTGTCAGATGCACTTCTGGTGACCACAGTGAGGACTTTTGAGCTGCGTCCTTTCACTGACAGTAACACATGAGCACATCAGAGTCCTCCTGGTTAACAGTTCACAGGCAAATTTTACATCACACTCCCCAGTGGGCATTTCTTTTGAAAAATCTTTCCTGGTTTTCACCCCTTATCCTTACCGAAGATCAGGCTGGACCATGCTACGCCTCTCAGAGAGTCTGGCTCCATACTTAGATTGTACATATATATATTACAAGGTGGGTTGAAATATATAGTGAATGTTTAAATTTTTAAAATTGATTATAGTAAAAGACACATTCAATACTATTGATTCATCTCCCTCAAACTATCCCTCTTCAGTTGGACCACACTTGTTCCATCATCCTTGCTACTTTCTGAAGCAGTTCTGCAAGTTTTGTTTTCTGACCATCTTTATGAGAGAGAGAGAGAGAGAGAGAGAGAGAGAGAGAGAGAGAGGTACTGTGAATGTTGTGGTCGAGCCCCATCCAGGGGAAAGACAGACTCCTAAAAACACTACAGTACATCCTCACCCACCTTATTCACTGGATTGGAGACCATGCAACTTCCAGCTCCTCAAAGTTACAATGAGCATGCAAAGTAAATGTTTTGAATTGATTCAGAACATTGAGGCAGAAATAACTGCACAAATAAAGAGACTCACAAAAGAGGACTTAAAGAACTGCTTCAGAATGTGACAAGAATGAAGGGTAACTGTGTTCAAAGCGAGGGGGGATATTTTAAAGATGACTTATTATAATGTGACTTTTATTGCAATAATTTAAGATTTAAACACTTACTGTACATTTTGATTATACCTCACACCCCCTGTACTTTTTAATTTTGATGTTTACTGCAAATGTAATTAATTATTTATATAATTTTGCTGGACACTTCTCTTTCCCCTCAAGGCTATAGCCTCTATAGAGCAGAGACTATGTCTATCTTGTTCCCCAGTTTATCCCCAGAACCTAGCATGATCCATATAGTTAGTGGGTGCTGAACAAATATGGGTGGTTTTAATTTTGTAACTGTCTACAAATCTGGAAGAACAATTTGCCTTACAGGGAACAATTTATTCATGTGGTCACTTAGCGTTCTTAGTCAGTACCTAGTGTTGTGGACACTGAGGCTTTGCTTTTGTGGCTTATCTCGAATACTGCTAAGAGTCTTGAGGGCACAAAAAACACAAGATGTAAAAGCTCGACTTCCGGGAGAACATGGCGGACAGATAACAGCAACTACCGGAGGCTCTCTGAAAAACTAGGCTCAGAAGCCAGGTATGGTGCGGACTAAAGAGACATAAGCAGGTGGAGTTATGCTCTGCTGACTCAGGAATGAACTCGGCTGAGAGAAACCAACTTGGAATGCAGTCCTGGTGCTAAAACAGGAACAGAAAAGCCTCGCGGCTGAGGCTGGACCCCGCTCCATTGGAAGCCGTGATTTGGGTTTCCCGCCGCGTGGTGGCTGGCTGCCTCTACATTGGCTTGGCAAGGAGAGAGACTCGCGGAAGCTCTGAGAACGGGAGTCTGCGAATGAAGAAGAAAACAGGACGGGCAGGGTGGCATGTACTGACTTGTGGCGAGGTGAGTGAGAGAAACTGACACTCCACCACAGTTTGACTCCAGCGGACTTTCTGGGCCCGAGCAGTCCTGCGGGAGCAGGGCACGGTGGCGACTCCAGCCACACATTCCCCTCTCGGGCGGGATTGGTGAAAAGTGCCTGGCCTGCGTGACGCTGCCGGCGGACCCCGTAGGCTGGCCCAACCCAGATCCCAGAGCCTGACGGAGGCCAGGAGGGGCGGGCCCCCGCGTAGGCTGCCTGGTGCGCAGCGGTGAGTGGGAACACCTAACCGGCGCAATTCGATCAGGCTGTGGCTGACAGGGAGAGAAGCTGGGCCTCTCATATAAGCTTGCATATATAAGGAACAGAGAACATGGGAAGAGGCAACAAGAAAGGCTCCTCGGCCCCCAATTCTGAGAAACAGGCAATAGCGGACACCGCACCAATAGACATAAAGCGCCATATAGAGAGCCTCACAGACCAATTCAGGAATGAAGTTGTTAACGACCTGAAGCTAGAAGTATGCAGTATAGTTAGAGAAATGCTAAGCACCACCCAAGAAAAAACAGATGGTGGAATGGAAGAACAGAAAAAGAGGGGAGAATTGTTTGATGGAGAAAACAGGGAAAGCATAGACTACGTGAAGCAGGTTCAAAGGGACTACCAAGAAACTAAGAAGTCTATCGAAGACTGGCATAACAGCTTGAAAGAAACTAAGGACAGACTATCTGAACTGGAGGGCAGAATTGTAATATGGGAGAATGAAATGAAAAACTTCTTAAAAATAACAAAGAAACAAACAGCAATAATACAAAGACAAGAAGATGATAAGAGGATCCATAACTTAAGGATTAAGAACATAAAAGAAGAAGTAGGGACACAAACAAATGAACTACAAAAGCTACTCACAGAAATAATCCAGGAGAATTTTCCTAATTTAGCAAAAGGTAAAGATACTCAGATGTATGAGGCATACAGGACCCCAGCTACCTACAACCCAAACAGAGCAACACCCAGGCATATAATAATAAAAATTCCAGAAATTCAATACAAGAACAGAATATTAAAAGCTGTCAGAGACAAGAAACAGACCACTTACAAGGGAGCACCCATCAGAATTACAGCAGATTTCTCTGCACAAACCATCAAATCACGAAGAGCATGGGGGGAAATAATTCAAGCTTTGAAAGATACTAATCTCCAGCCAAGATTGAGATATCCTGCACAACTGTCCCTGGAAATTGATGGAAAAACAAGGTGCTTCCAGGATAAAGAGGAACTGGGGGAATTTGCAACCACCAATTCAACTCTACAGAGAGTATTGCAGGATATTCTAAAAAAAGAAAAATACAAAGAATCCAGAAATAGTGGCGGGGAGGCCACAATGAATGGAGCAGAGAACAAAATGAAGAAGACAAACTGACAGCTACTGACATAATAAGAGCTCAACAGAAATGAGGCAGAGAAGATTGGATGATAGGAACAACTATTTTGGAGAAAATGACATCTTAATAGGTAATACTGATTTAGTATCATCTTGTTTTGAAGTCTCATCTAGCTTTTGTCCTTCTGTCTCCAATGGTCTAAATAGGTTGTATCTTATTGGATTTTATTATGTACGATAGTATAAGCAAAAACCTTTTAAAGACGAGATTATACAGAAACCATTGTTCATTTTCTGTTAGTCGATTCTAAATACTCTGTAATGCTGTCATTCTGTTAAATGGTTTTACATTGTTTTGATATACTTAATGCTACAGTATACGAAGTTGTACTCAAGGATTTCAAGGAAAGAGACAATATGGTAACTACTTTTAGGTCAGGATTATCTGGTGGTGAAACACTATTCTGCTTAAATGGTTATGTTTTGATCTGTGCTGTTCCGTTGTTATGTCCTCTTTTATCTCAATCTCCACTCCATTATTTACTTTTTTATTTTTATCCTTTTAATTAAAGGAAAAAAATAGCAGGATATATTATAGTAACCCACTTTGACTTTCCATTACCTCGATTTAAAGCCCTGTATTACTCTCACCATCTGGTTTTTAACTGATGTTCCCCTATTCTGTTTTGCTGGATAGTATCAGGTTCGAAAGTTTAGGCATCAGCTGTGAAGATAATGAGATTCATTATAACGCCCATTCTCGTTGACTTTTATCTACTTTTGAAGACCTACAATGTCTCCAATGTTTTGGTTTTGTCGGTTTTATTCTTTACTGTTTTGTTCAATTGTATTATAACTAACGATATAGGCAATTCTATTAGAGATAGCGGGAGGCATTATGGTAACCATTGTTGATCACCTTGTATTATGTTTTTACATTATCTATCATGTCCACCCTTTTGACTTGACCGATTCTGTTCTGTTATTGTCACATTTGGTTTTTCTCTTCCATTGTCACATTTGGTTTTTCTCTTTGGTTTGTCTCTTCCAAAAAAGTAATAAGAACCGTGGGAGCAATGAAAACCAAAATGTGTAATTGTCATTGTACAAAAGAGAGGAAAAGAAAGTGCTCTAAACTATATAACTGCATGTATATTTAGGTGTATAAGATAGAAAATGATATCACAGAGTTTTATTGGATCATTGAACAGAACTGTTTGCAGTATCATTGATGGAATGTCCACTTTACAAGCTTTAATTTTGTGACTTGAACAATTATTTCTAAGATGACAATATGTAATCCATTAACTAGTGATTTCCTACTGTTCATTTTTTTTTGTAAATCTGTATAACTTGTACCCTTTCTCTGCTTTTTTTCTTTTCTCCTTAAATAAAATTAAAAAAAAAAAAAGGAAAGATGTAAAAGCTCATTCTGAACCCAAGCCCCATACCAAAGCTACATTCAAAACACAAGAGCTATTGAGTCAATAACGTCTCATTTATATGCAAAAGTTTTATACAGTGGGTGCAGTTTTATCTCTGAAAGAATACTGAAGAGTTAGGAGGAGTGACTTTTTTTATTAGATTAACCCTAGAATTGCTTCAGCTCACCTAGAAATTAATCCAGATTCTGTTAAACATTTTATTCCTAAATGCATTTGGCCAGAACTTTGTATTAATAAACCTGTAATGTTTAAGTGTAAATAAATTGTTGCCACCAGAAGGAACAAAATATTTACAAAATTCTCAATATAACAAAGGGTGTCCCATCTGGAACATCCACATAAATTAACTTGGACCGCAGCATAGGAGGAAAGAGGTGGAAAAAAAAAGTTAAGGCCGTTCTTATTCATGTTCTCAGAAATGAGGAGGCTGTGTTCTCCCTAGCAAAAGGGCCAGATCCAGGGGACGAAAGGAAAAGAGCACGTTTTTCTCACCGTTTCAATTTCTCATAGTTTCACACTGTGCTTTCACCCACCATTACTGACTATTTCGTTGAAGAAATGTAAGGCTACTGCTGGCAGCAGTAGCCATGCACAGAGTCAGTCACTTTAACATGCAATTACAGGTATGGAAACCTCTAGAAGCATAGCTGGCATGCATAGATGTTCCAAAAGTCTTTGTTTAAGAAAGAGGCTCATGGACAGATTTATGGTTTCCCATATGTTTCACTTTGAGGATTTTTTCCTCACAAAGCTTCCTGAGCAGAGGTTGTCCACTATTCTTTAATTAAAGAAATAAAACTGTATAAATCCCTCAAAACAGTTCAGGTGCAGAGGGCTGGGGAAATACACCGTACTTCAGAAGTACCATATGGCCCAAGATAACACATAGTTCAGAATTTCAGTGGAAAAGCGTACTATCAAAATGCCTGTTTCTACTGCAGCACACAGCTCTGATTAAAGTGAGCACCACTGGCCTCAAGAGGCAGCTGCTAACTGTCAGCGAAAGCCAGAGATTGTCCCTTAAGAGAGAGAGACACCTGCCACCTCCTTATCACACCTGGAGAATGGCTTCCTCCCTTTAATTAATCTGAATTGCAGAAGGAAGATGTGTAACCCTAAAATCATCTTTCTCCTATTTACCATGCATCATAGCTCTTTGACAATAACAAAAAATACAATTAAAAACTAAGAGCTATATTTGGATCACTTCATTTCATCCTCATGAGAATGCCTAATTCATTATCCAACTTTCAAATGAAATTGAACTGTAAAGATGGCGAGCTCGAGGTCAAATGTCAAGGAAATGGTAGAGTTTGGATTTGAAATCAAGTAGTCTGAACCTAGAGTCAACAACCTGAATGAAGCTGGAGGGACTGAACTTGACAGGATGGCAGCCACCTTGTGTCACAACGTCCGTGACTGCCCCTGAGTAACCCTGATGGATTCCGGGTTATAACTGCACAGTTTCTTAGCTACTACAAACAGACAACATGCTAGAGTGGCATATGGAGTTTAGTGCCTGACCTTGGTGCCAGGAATGTGCCTGGCTTTTGAGATAAACTAGATGAATTCCTGCTTGGATGAGTGAATTCCTGCTTGGATGAGGTCACTGTTCTTGACCATTTTATAAATTCCCAACTCTGCCTCAAATTCCAGGGAATCGTTTTATGACCACCCAAGACCACACTCCCAGTAGTAAGATCCCAAGAAACTGCACTCTGCACAATCCAGATCTGTCTGCTTCTTGCTTCAGTGGAGCTCATGGCACAGTGGAGTTGATTTTCCTACACTGGAACTGGTTGTTTCAGAACAAATGCTCACTTTGAATGTGTCATCTTAGTAAAACAAAAATTATAAAACATGAAACAAGTCAAGTGACTGAGCTGTAATCACAAAGATGTTTAATAGTTGTACTGCTTTCCTTTCAATATAAGTTTATATAGTATCCTTAATAAGTAAAATATCTTGTAATTTGAATAATTTAATCTTATTAAATTGAAACCGCTTATTTACTACAGGCCAGGTGTACAGTTGATTTAAGAAGTCAAGTTTTCTTGGTCCAAGACGTTAGACGGGGGGAGAGCGAGCCTCTAGCTGGAGCTACACGTCTAGCCCTAGGCTTCATTTCACTGCTCGTGAGTTACTACCCACTTATTTATCTCCACTAAGTCACAATTCCTATTATTTTTACTCCTGGCTTCAGAGCTATCCAAGATTGTGAAAGCTGGCCAACAAGAGAAAACTATAAATAGTGGCTCATTAAGTCTCAAAGCACAATGATAAAAAGTAGTAACAGTGAGTTCCACGGCCCAAGCAGAGAAACAGTTCTTTCTGGAGCCACTCACCAAGTCCCAGGCTGCTGGGCCTCTGGCCCTCTGCCTCCCGCTTTCTCCTCTACCCTCCCCCACCACCACTCACACTGTGCTGAATGCTTCTCTCCCACCATCATGGTCTCTCTCTCTCATTCTCTTTTTTTTTTAACTTGCCAGTCTCTCTTTCTCCATTTTTCTCTTCTTCCCCTCCTTATTCCAGTTTGCCTGAGAATCACACAATCTTGAAATACCAACTTGCCGAGGTTTTCAGAGATCACACAGATCAACATCCCAGTGCTGTGCATGAGAAGACGATAGTCCAAAGGAGTGATTCACACAAGGACAGATGGGTATTTAGAGGGGATCACATAGCCTGAGCCAAATATTCTTTCCACCATGTCACACGTCCAAATGTATTATGAAAATTGAGTACTTGAAAACCTTTGTGTTTCCTATTATAATATTCTGTAAGTGGAAAAATATATTTAAATATGAGAAAATAGTGTTTTCATGTGCTCCTTCATCTTTGAAAATGAATTATCCTCATTTTAACAATAATCTTTCCAAATAACAGAGCTAGGTTTAGAAGACAGTGTCAAAGCCACTCCGTGCTAAATAGTAAGAAATGTTTAGAAAAACAGTTCTTAAATTTGTTTTCACTCATGATTTCCATAGATAAGTTGATTGAAAGCTTCTATTTAGTAAAAAAGTAAACTCACTCTATATTTTGCATAACATTTTAGGAATTTATGAATATCCTGGAACCCATATGTAGATCCATTAAAAGGTGAGGATCTCTGTCTTAAAGAAAAAAAAATGTGTGCTTCTGAATCAATAGCTTTCAAATTGGAATACGCTAAGAGGTATACGTGATGGTCCTGGAATCTTGAGGGGAAAAATAATCAAACTCCTTTTACTGCTTATAAACTTTGTTCTTCTAAAGTCTTCATATTTCTTATGTTTCGAACACACATAAGATAGTAGTATACTAACGCATGTGCATAATTCATACAAAAGTAGAAATGAATTATGGAATTATATGTCCACTATTATTTCCATGGCTAGGAAGGGCTGAGCTGACTGCTGGAGACCAGCAGATGACTTCTTAGAGGATTTTCACTTCCCACAAGAGTCTTTCCCATCAGAGAAGGTCTCTCCTCACCTGGTCCTTTGTCTTCCCTTCTCGCTCACGAATGTGGTTAGCAACGATCCTTTCTGTTTCCTCACAAAGTCTGGGAAAATTCGCCAGCTGTGAAGAAAAACAGGCCGAGTGTTTATAATATATACTCAAAAGGTGGTGTGACAAAAACAGGATCAGAGACGGATTATGCTATTTTACAGAAGACATTTGTTACAATTGTCTAGAAATAAATGTTTGATGTCAGGAACTCCTGCCAGAAGAATGTTGGGGTGATAAAAACACCTCCACAAACTATAATTAGAAGCTCACCATCCATGAGGAGATATTTTAAAACCTGCACAGCAATTCTCTAGGAGAACCTAGGCTCTATCTAGCACTGTGCTTGGGAAAGTTGGCACTTAAAATTTCAAGATGAAGACGATGGAAAAAGAAAATGAGCAAAATGATAATGGCCAGCATTTGTATAGTGCTTACTGTGTACACTCCAGGAATCATCTCACTGAATATGCGTAACAATCATAAGAAACAGACCTAATTATTAACCTCATTTTATAGAGGAAGAAACTGAAGCACAGAGAGATTAAATAACTTACCAAAGACCAAGCAGCTCAGAACTGGGAGACCCAGGGCTTCAACAAATTTTAGGACTCTAGTACCCAAGATTGTTTTATTTATTCCATGAGCCACAAAGAGATGACTATGGTTTTTTTTAAAATATCTCCTCCAATAGATTATATATGTACACATTTGTATAAAACTGTAGAAATAATGCACGTTGATCATTTACCCATCATGCAAATAATTGTTCCAAAGATACTCTGCAAAAATTAATCATTAATTACAGTTGCTTGCAATACAAAGAAGAAAGCAGGATGATAAAGGGATGTTTAAGGAGCCCTAATCTAGCAGAGGGGCTTTAACAGACAAAGGTCTTAGGGGTCAGTTACAGGGAATGTGGAGCTTGTCAAACACAGGTACACCAAAAGCATCCAGTAAAGTCAAATAGATTACGGCAGATCCACTTACAGATCGGAATGTGGTCATTTCAACTCACAGTTTAAATAATATCTAGTGACATGGTATTTGTGCTATGATATTAAGGAAAGACAATTAGGCTATTGCATAAGTGATGTGATTATATACGTGTACACACACACTCATTTACACACCACCACATTTCCTTGATGATTTTCAAAGATACAGCCCAAGAACTTGACAAATCCCAAAGCCCTTGAGTAAAACTGGAACACACAATAATGCCTAAATGCCTAAGAAGTCAGAAGGAGGCATGTTTTGGATGTGGTTGCCCAGGGTCACTGTGCCTGCCACACGTATAGCTTGCATGATGCACAGTGGTGACTCAGTCCAATAAAAGGCTGCTGTGCTTCACAGAACTGTTATAACCACCAGCCCACCTGATCCCCGCATGCTGCAAATGCACTGGGAGATACAGGAAGTGATGTGCACAAACACTACCAGGTGTTAATACATACTAATAACTGAATTTTGCATGGTTTTACTCTTCTGTGTTTCCAAAGTTATCTGCAATGGATATAGAACTTTTTTATGTGCTCACTTCAGCAGCACATATACTAAAATTGGAACAATACAGAGAAGATTAGCATGGCCCCTGCACAAGGATGACATACAAATTCATGAAGCGTTCCATATTTTTATTTTTTGAGATTCTATATCATTTTTACCTTTTTTTCTATTTTGCTTCTTTTTTAATAAAAAATAAAGAATTGATTTCAGCAAAAAAAAAAAGAAATTTTTTATAACAACATCGTACAAATATAGAAGTGTAGATGCCTTCATCATCTCAAAAATGACAGCCCAGTGTGTCTTCATGAGACCACCAATTCTTCATTTTAAGGGTGGTAAGAATTTGCTCCTATCTGAATCCTGTAATGCATGCTCACAGGAGCTTCTTTCACCAATTACAGTTATTGTGGGTTACAAATGGAGTTTCCACTTCCCATTTTAGAAACAATTTGCCAGGGACCTCTTTTGACATTGTAGATTATCATCCCCAGAACCCCTTTTGACCCTGGAAATTATCTTTTATGCAGTTTATATTAAGTTTCAGAGATAGGAGGGACAGATAATCAGTATCGGTCCTTCTTGACTAGTACAAACCTGGGTGGTACATCTTGCACTAACCACCTACCTGCTCCGGGGACCCCAGAGCAATGGCTGCTCCCCAGCACCCAGACAGCACTTGCAGCTTTCCAGGCACCTTGCCTTCAGTAACAACAACACTGTCACAGAATCACACTGCCACGGAGCAGTAACTGTAGGAGGAGCAGTGGTCTATAGCAAGGAAGAGTAGGATGCCTTTAACAATCCTGAGGATTTCAGCAAAAGGTTATTTTTAAAACCACCACATAGTAGCAATATAAATATTTATTCAGAAACTAAATATTTGACAACTGAAGGACCCCAGGCCAGTACATGGTCATCTTTAAGTCAGGGAAAGGCCAAAATGACAAGAGTATCCCATGAAGTAGAGTCATTCTAAGAATTTCTCCAGTCTACTGGCCTTGGCAAGAGCGATTTTGTATGTGTGTGTATGTGTGTGTGTGTGGTGTGAGAGAGACAGACAAAAAGGGAGAGAGAGAGACACACACAGAGATCTTTCCAAGTTTTAGACTCTAGGGCTCCATTTACCAAGAAAAAAAAACTTGGCTGAGTTCTCAATTTTCTACCTACAATTACAACTTAAAGTTAATAAGCTTAAATTCTAAGCAGAACAAAAGAAAAATGGAATAGACTAGAAGTATTGTGTTATGGTTTGTATCTAGATGTCCCCCAAAGCCTTCTGGGGTCACAGGTTATTTGGGGGTTTTTTGCTTGTTTGTTTGGTTTGGTTTGGCTTGGTTTGGTTTTTCCCAGAAGTGGTTGAATCTCAAGTGGTGATTGATTCATAGTGCAATGCGGGAATTAAGGGACCTAGGATTAATGGTGAGTGATTGCTGGATCAGTCCATGGATTAGATTGGCACTGCCCTAAACCTGGTAGACTGGATACATCATAAGGGACAGAAAGAGTCGTGTCATGTCTCCCTTTTCGCTTTTGCTATCTTCTGCCGCTGTGAACCTCCGCCCCTCTGCCATGTGCCACCCTGCCTTGGAGGCAGCCAATTAAGAGCTACAAGCTCTACAAACCGTGAGCTATATAAACCTTTAATTTTGGGTGTTCAGTATTTTGTCTCAGCAGCAAGAGAAAAGAGACTAAGACAAGGAAGAGGAGAGAGAACACTAACAACATGAAGTGTACGCATCAGTGAAAGAAAGCAATGAAACAAGCATGGTTGCTGGCTCAGTGATCCAGAAAGGATGGGAAAGAGGAGTACAGAGCTCAAAAATGTTGATTTTACATGCTGGCTTTCAAACCTGAAACTTAACTTTTTGGAAGAGGGAGGAAAGTTCTACTGATATCTAAAATGGTTTCTGATCAGGCTTTTCACCATTCAGTGCATTAGCTCATCCTCCAGGAGTCCCTGCCCATCCCAAATGGCTTTTTACCAGGCTGTAAAACACACTCAGCTCTATTTGCTCAGGTCAGTCTCTTCCCTCTCTTATAAGATTCCTACCTAGGGTGTATTGACAGTTCTCGCGATCATTTAAATCAATATGAGTCTCAACGTCTTTTGCTCTGGATGTTGAAATAAAAGTGTACAGTTAGCCAGGAACATTATCAGTGGCACAGCATCTTCCTGGCAAGTATGAGGTCATGAGTTCGATCCCCAGTACTAAAAAGAAAGAAAGAAAAAGCCTACAGTTTGAAGACTGTAATTTTGTGTGTTTTTGTCAAAGTCATCAAAATTCTAATCATGTATGCTTAAATAATATTGACTTAGAAGACATCACTCTTTGACCTTTATTCCTTATTGAGTATATAAAATATTCTGTAAACTGATTTATATATGATCAAGTAACTAAGGCTTTACTATTGGGTAGAATAATTTTTATTATCCTGCATTTACATCACATCAGTCATTTATTGGGCCAGTTTGTGTCAGAATACCTAATATTAAAATCTTACTATCTTGAGTGGCATGTCAATTGTTTTATATAAACAGTCACACAAAAGAAAATGGGCACAAAGGGGAGCTGAATGACTAACAATTCCATTAACATACACATAATGACAACAAAACTTCCAGTCCAAGCAGTTCATCTATTAAATGGCAAACTGTAAATAGCTTAGAATTGTTCAAATTACTTGAACATTCTTAAAAATAAAGAAGATTCCATGGAGAAACAGTATACAGGGACTTTCAAATTTTACTTCAAAGAACATTTTAAAGATATACTACAAGTACATGTTTTAATTATGTCCAATATTTTAAGTGTAATTTAATGTAGTATACAATTATTTTGGTGAAACTTCAACCAAAAATTTAACTTAAACATGGAATACATTTCTCTCTAAAGGAAAAAAATCACTTAAAAGATATTTCCACTCAGCAAAACAAAAATTAACACACATAAAATTTACTGACCAGTAATTAACCAGGTCATAAAAGCCAGGTTATTAGGTTTCTCTTAGAAAGTACAGACAAGTTTTATGCAGCTTCCAGAGTAACTAACCTGATGTCTTGAGCAGTTATACAGGTTGTTAGATAATTATATGTCCACAGATCCACAATATTGTTTAAACACACACACAAACATTTCCTACATTTACAAGACCTGAACTAATTGTTTTGACAGACCTACAACTATGGCTTGTTTAATCAAAAATCTATAAACTATTTAACTATAATCTATAAATATAATTTAAATCTATAAATATAATTTATAAATCTATAAACTTTTTAACTATGACCACTTGCTATAAACTGAGTAACAGTAATGATTGTGCTCCTCAAAAAAGGATATAATAATTTCATCCCCATTTCTGTTATTGAACACCCACCCAAATCCCTATTCACCCTTTGTCTCTATTACATGATGCTGGATTTACTTGGGAGATGTGAAAACGGTCACCTGGTTATAGCCCATGTATGACAGTCAGAAGAAAAACAGATGCAGCCATATTCACGGGGTGATTGAAGATGAGGAGTAATTCTAGTTTAAATCAGAAATTGGTGTTTCCCTCTA